CCAACAGCTAGCTCAGCCTACGCCTGCATCTCATGATTATACCAAACTAGCATACAAAAACTGTGATGAAAAAGCAAAGGAACAGGATGCCAAAAGAGATTCAAATCCTATTTGTTTTCCCCCAAAATCACCACCAATTCATCTATAAATACTTGGCTCCATCATACGATTTAGGGGGCTTTTTTGGACGAAAGGCTGAAAGTTAAAGGCTGGCTTTTGGAGAGAGAGATTGGCCAAAAGAGAGAAAAGGAAGTTGTGAAACCTTTATAAAAATCCAGATTCCTCATACACAAAAACAAACCTTTGTTCTTCTCTTTGAACAAAAGAACACAACCACTCTTCCGTTTGTCTTGCTGGTTCAGAACATCCAGAGGCGGCCACTCAAAACTCCAAGCACGCTCCAGGTAAGTCTTTCTGACTTTACTTGTTTTTCATTCTGAACATCATTAACATGTAAATATCATAGCATTAATGTTGTACATATCATTACATGAATAGAAAAACTATGAACTTCTAGAATAATGATAGGCCCAAACTTAGGATTAGAACTTTTATGAATTGTTGTGCTGTTGTCATTCTGATTTGTTGTTTAAAAAGAATTGAATAAATTGCTGATGTGCTGATTAAGATTGGAAATGTAATATAGAACTTCTGATTTTCTCATGCTGATAATACCCAGAACTTCTATGATTTTTTCTCACCGTTAACACACACTGAATTTCTGATTCTTATATGCTGATAACACACAGAACTTCTGATGTTCACTCACAGTCTCAGCACAACACAGAACTTCTGAGTTCTCTTTACATGTCAAATACATTGAACTGCTGACGTTTGCTCACTATTTCAGCATAATACAGAACTTCTGACTTTTGGTTCACTGGCTGAACACCACCCAGAACCTCTGTTTCCCCTCTAACGTTTTTTGCAGGACTTCAGAGTGTATCAATCCAGAACCTCTATTCCCTTTCCCTCTGACGTTTTTTGCAGGAACTCAGAGTGTACCAAATCAGAACTTTTGATTTTGACGCTTCCTTCTAAATCATGCGCCTGGCTTTAGAACTTCTGATCCTCGTTTCTTTGTTTGCAGCAACACGCTGTTTGTTACCTTGCATTTATTTTCCTTTCATCTTTTATTATTATTAACATAAAAGAACATAAAAATATTTTCCTTTTAATTTATTTCCTTAAGACAATTTTTTTTTCTAAACAAGTCCATTTCTTTCTTATATTATACATTTCAATATAGTTGTAATAGTAACTTAAGACTTATTTTACTTGCAATCCCCATTCATAAACTTGTACACCCCATCCCCTAAATATTGTAATAGCGTAGGACTTTACATTTCTGCAATTTATCGCTTTCAAAATGTAAATGCTAGTAATTAGGCGTGTATGGCAAGATAAAAACAACAAAATAGGCCACCCTAATCAAAGACTAAATGTATGCAAATCAAACACATTATTCACACACGCACCTCTAGGGTAATCTCACTTGTTGCCTATCAGAAAATAGTCATGTCCCTCGAACATGGGCATTTTAGCAAAGACCCTCGATAAAAAGATCGTAGTCCCTCGATGACCCTCGATGTTGCCTTCGGTAAACGATCTAGCCCTAAAACGACATTGCTAAAACGTCCCATATGTTGCCTTCTATGACTATACAAACGTCCAAACGCCCATCCCTTCACATCCAACGATGGGGCTTCTTACCAAATCGATGGTAAGATAGCCACATCTAAAGGAGGAGGAAAATCACATTTAAGACCTTTCGAGTAGGTAGATTCGCTCCTAGTTACTCGCTTGCTCACAACAAAAACATTTTTTATACACCCACACTCTCATCTTTGAACTATTTTCAAAACAAACACTTTGTAGGCGTTCTTATAGAAACGAGAACCATTACGAAGTTCCATTTTCAAAATACTTTCAAAAACACATCATACAAACACACTTTTGAACTATTTTCGAAATAAACACTTTTTAGGCGTTCTTATAGAAACGAGAACCATTACGAAGTTCCATTTTCAAAATACTTTCAAAAATCACCACCACAAGCACACATTCAAACAAAAGCAAGTGATCTAGCAAGTAACTAAGAGTCCATGGAAAACCATGGATGAAAAGGGTGTTAGCACCTTCCCTTTTCATAATCTACTCCCCGAACTCAAGAAAATATCTCAAAAGTCTTTCCTGTGCTTTTTCACCTTTCCTTTTGGATAAAAGAAAAGTCGGTGGCGACTCTTTCTAACCGCGACATTTGCGATAAAATGCAAAACCTCAAGTCAGTTCTCCCATCGTATCACAGAACTGGCGACTCTGCTGTGGAATTTTTTCTAAAAGTGGGGTTAACACATCTGTTTCTCAGGTTGACACATTTAATATCATTTTAAAGCATGTAGCCACTGACTTGGTTAGGTCGACACATAGTCTATTATAGGTCGACAAATACAATTCAAAAATCACATATGTGTCGACACATACAATTAATAGGTTGACACATACTATTTATTTGGTCATATTTCATAAATATTTTTATTCCGAATTTGTACCTCTTTGCCTTAAATATTCCAAAACTATAAATACTCCTTCACGCATCATTCATAATCTGGTGAAACCATAAAATTAGCTTATTTATCTCTTCATCCTTAACCTCCAATCTATGCATACACACTGACATTCCATTGTAGCGATGTCTTGTTGTGATGTCATGTAGACGAGATTGATAGTGTCCAATTATGTATTGGGTTGAGCTTTGTAGGGGTTTTCATCTAGGAAAAACATCGAGTTTATCCTCCAAGATCATTGTTTGATTTGGGGGTTTTCGTGCAAGATCATTCAAGAGGGAATCATGGTAAAATGAACAACCTTGGAGTGCTTAAAATCTTTTCAAGGAACCTTTGAGTGTTTAAAATCTTTGCAAGGAAGTAGCTTATAGTGCCAAATAGAATTGAAGGCTTGTGTTGCAATAGTTGAAATTGATGGTGCGCGAAAGCTTTAGAGATAAAGAATACAAAGGAGTAGCAACATCCAGATAGTCAATAGTCACCTATTGTGTCTTGGTTTTTCTCAAGATGAAAAGAAGAGAAGGAGTTGAATTAACAACACGCTTAGGGTTTGTGGAATTGCTCTTGAACACTTCTGTTTTATCATCAATTTTGCATAGTAATAATTATCCTAATTCCATGGAATTAGACGCAGACGTACCTACATGCAAGGACAATAGTGGGGAACTATGAAGACAAATTCCTCGTGTCTCTTTTATTTTTTGCTTTTACTTGCTTTGATATTCATTGATCAATTTATCAAATAGCATTGCATTATCAATTGAATTGTGAGAATTTTCTGAATAGATTTTGATTTGAAATCAAGTGTTGTTATAGCTTATAATTACTTTTGATTATAAGTGGTTTTTATGTATCAACAAAATCAAAAGGAAAATTCTGAAAATTCACTTGCACACTGTTGTAACTAGTTTTAAAATGAGAGTCGCCACCCTTAATTTTTATCCTAAGGAAAGGAATATAAAGGTTAACTCTAAAAAGTTAGAGATTCTAGGCTTTTGACTCGGTTTTGGATGAAGGGAAGGTTTTAGGCACCTCTCATCTACCTTGTTCACAAGGATACTAGGGTTAGAAGTGCAATTTTTAAGAAATAGGGTTTTAATATTTTATTAGGGGAACTCGCCATAATTTTAGTCGTATGCCTACGTATCCTCTTATGAGGAATCAGAGTCCCAATTCGTAGTTCCTAGTTAGGTCGGTGTTTTTTAGAGAATTGCGTAGAATTGATTTCGTATTTATCCTTGAACCTTGTCTGAGTTGTAAGTTGAGTGATCGTGGATGCAATTCACAGTTAATTTTGAAAGTAATTCTCCTTAATCATTTTTCCAAAAAATATCTTGACTTTGATTATGTTAGTAAAAAATGATTTTTGATTGGTTAGCTATATTAAGGCGTAGAGCAGGGGAAGTCTAATATAGTCTCCTCATCACGTGGCCAGATATTGGCCACGTGTCATTCACAGATGGTGAATTTGGTAAGTTGCGTGAATTTTAATTGTTTGATTTTTAATAATAAATCGGTAGACAATGTGTTGACCGATTTAATTACTCAAAGATGGACATCCTATTATTTATAGAATGCTCGAATTAATTATATTTAAAAAAAATGATTGATTTATTTTTTAAAAAAACTCAAAGCGTATATTTTTTGTATGTTTATTAATAAAAGCTAACTAACCTAAATAAATAATTACCTTAATTAACTAATGAAATAAAGTAACTAAATTAAAACTAAACTAAATAAATAAATAGGTTTGGGGTGCATAAGTAAAATAGGGTGTTAAATTTGAAAATTTGTGGAGAATATAAACCCAAGGCCCAACATCTAGAAAACCCTATTTTCTAATTGAAATAATGAAACATAATTAAAGAAGGTAACAACTATAGCATCAGACGACTCCCTATGGTTTTTTTTAATGATTTTCCAAAATCTCAAGACATCCAATCATTCATCAACACTTGGCACCAAAATTAGATTAAATAAAAAAATATACTTAAGAGCATGATTATCGGTGTTCTTTGAGAGTTCCTACACATTTATTAAAGAAATTGTGTCAATAATAAATAGATATTTCATTTGTTTTCACGAACTAAAACACGTTCTCTTACTAAAACACAAACACGCTTCTACACTCCAATTAAGTGGGTCATGATAATAAATTAATAAATAAAATTGCAAGAATATAATTGATTTGTTTTAAATGTGGGACCTATTTTAGATTTTTTGATGAGTTACATGGATATTTGAGAATTGTAGATGAATTATTTAAAAAATTGAGAAGTGTGAAATAATATAAAAAATCATGTGGGTACCATTTAAAGAACCCAAATGGATATGATGGATGTGGATGCTCTAACATATTTGATTGACAGTGGAAAAGAGAACTCAGTCTAAATCCACATGCTTTTCCTCTTCCTTTCCTTTTTTCTCAGAACTTTAACATTTCTCCTCAATGTTTCTCAACAACAAAGCCTTGTATCTTATCAAAGCTCTAATGGCGGTGATGGAAGATCGGGGGATTGAGGATCTTCGATGGTGGCTTGTGGCTTCGAGCAGTGACGGCGTTCCGCGGTTGAGAGTCGTGTGAGGCGCTGCAGATGACTCTGGCTCGCGATCGGAATCGCGTGAGGACAGTCGGAGAGGGAGGCTGAGCGACTTACACGACAGTGACGGGATAAACATGGAGTAGTGGGTATCCGACAGAAGTTGCATGGCGGAGGAGGTTTGCGGTGTTGATTATGGGGTGTCACCAGATTTGTTAAGTTTCGACCTTAGAGGACTGCGAATTTGAATATATGAAACTTGGTTTCTCAGTGATTTTCCTCTTTCATCGACTTCTCTCTCCGAATTTTACAGCAGCTGAAATCATGCGGAGGGATGGCAACGTCATGGGGGATTCTGGCGTGATCTGGTGTAGTCGATGACTGGAGGCATTATGGTGATGTCGTACGGTTGGTGTGGAGCGCAATTAGTTTGTCGATGGGTTACCGTTGGAGAAAGAGGCGGCCCGTGGCGGCCGTTGAGTCGTGAACAAAAGAAGTTTCCGTCGATGGAAAGGACACTGGTGTTGGTTGTCGTGGAGGAGTCGACAGTGTTGTTGGTGCATGGTGTCGGAAGAAGGAATGGCGGGGAGATTCATGTTTTATGGCTACTCTGGTCGATCAACGTCATCGCGAGGGGGTATGCATCGGTTGTGGAACTGCTAGATGTTGATGGGTAAGGCAGTGGTATCAAAGCTCTCGGCTGTTTGAATCTATTTTCTTTTTCCTGCTGCAACAATTATAATGAACCTGCAACAATAATTTACAGCTTGAATCTCATTGTTAGTATCACTAGTATGATTTGGTTATGTTATTTAAGGCTATGTTAGTATCAAGATACATGAATTCTTGTACAAAATAAAGCATAATGAAAATAGTGGGTTAATATGTGTTGTGTTAATATACAACTTTGGAAGGGAAAATGTTGAATTGAAAGAGGTTATTGGTTTTTGGTTTGTGTCTGACTCGTTAGTCAACACGTGAGAGATAGGAATAGAGTTTATTTTTTGCTGCCTATTTGTTTTGATTCAAGAGAAACAAATATTGACTAAGGACCCTTTTTTTGGTGAGTGGATTTTGTAAATATATATTTCAAGAGGTTTTTTTTTTTTTCCTTTTAGTGAAAGGTTGTGGTTATGTAAAATGTAGAAGAAATTTAGCTTGGAAGTTTGTGTGGTGAGGATTAAAATGTGTATTGTGAATAATATTTACAGGTTCTAGAAAAATTGGTCATTGTAAAAAATATGTATAGAAATTGTGTGAATAAGGTTTGTGTGTAATGTGTGTAATATTTTCAGTGGTAGTGAATGGCCTGCAAATAATAAAAATATAATTTAGAAAAATAAATTATCATTAGATAAATATAATGTGGTGTTTAAAATAATTTAAAATTAAGAGGAGATAAAAAATGAAAAATCAATGGGAGGCCTCATATTGAATCATCCGTTAAGAATAAAAATCACAAATGAAAAAAAATTGTAAAACATGAAGTGTGTATGAGTGAATAAAATTGTAAAAATTATGGATGAAAAACTAGGACAAAATAGCCTAAAATGAATATAAAGCCCAAAGCCTGATCTCTAAAAAAGGAAAGAAAATTAGTAACAAAAAATAGAAAAAAGAAAAAGTGCGATACAAAAGATTCAAACCCGCGACTCTCATACTTGCAAGCTTCATTCTTTATCAATTGTGCTACCTTGTTTATTCAAAATAAAAATGCATTTGAAAGTATACGAAGGTAAAACAAATATTTATTTATTCAAAAATACAAATGATCTGAAATAAATCATTATATTTTTAAATAGGTTTGGAAGCAAATATTTATAAAGATCAAAGAATATTATAAAACAAATGTTGAAAATATTTTTGACCGTAGAAATAAAGGGCGGGCCAATTTGGGGTATGACACACACCAAATGTTTGATAAATTGATTAATTAGCTCTTTCAATATTATCATTGGAAATAGCCTTGCTAAGTCAAGTTGATTAAACAATAAATAAGTAACCAAGTTATTCAAGGTTACTAATTCATCTTTTCATTCTTGTTCCATACTATTTTTGTTCTACGGTTTGCATATACGAGCTTTCCAATAAACATTCGTATAGACGACATTTTGAAAAAGATTCTGCGTCGTACTTTGATAAAATGACTTTTTCAAAATCAAATTTTATTTGGTAATTTTTAAAGAGATATCTATTCACCCCCTTCTAGATACGTTGCCGTTGTCTAACAGACATGTCAATCAATCAAGAAATAAAACTGAACAATGCAAAATGATAAAAACACAAAGATATGATGACCCAATTCGGTGTATAATAACACCTACTCTGGGGGATACCAAGCCATGAAGAAGATTCCACTATAAGTAGTATTATTTTATGTAAACAACCTCAGGCTTACAGGTAAACAACCTCAGATTTATAGGTAAACAAACTCAGTTTTACCTAATCACTACCCAATGAAATCTTTATCTCAGAACCCCGTATATGATAAGAGAAACCCATCTCACTCCCTAAATCACCTATGTGATATCTAATAATCACAACCTCTGGTGACTGCATCAAACTACTTGAAAGACACCCCTTATAAATAAAGTCCAGCCAAGACTCTTGACTAACAAACATACTTAGATTTTCTTCAAAGATTCATCCAAGAACAATATACAATTCATTACCTAAAGGCGTATGAATCTACATACACAACTGTGTCTACCATGATGCATCAAATTGGTACAAAGAGTGACTTACAACACAAGAAAGTACACGACTCTCAAAATACTAAACCCTTATAATTTTTAATGTGTTACACAAGGATTAGTTGAACTTCCCTAGGTTTAAGTCTTCCTTTTATAATCTTCAGCTGTCTATGGGCTTCAAATCTTTTGTTAAAATATTCCTTGATCCACTGCTAAAGCACTCCTTAAATCTTGGAACAGATTTACTAAAAACCTGCTACAACGGTCCAGGATGTCGAGTCTTCATTGTAGGACATCTTATTCGACATGTTGTTTTCAAAATATTTTAACATCTTATTCATCATCTATTTTTACCAAAATTAGTCAAATCTTTAGAGCTTTCAATCTCCCCCTTTTGACAAATTTTGGCTAAAACTCCATTTGTACAATAAACCTAGGAGCAAAAATCCAGGCACAGAAAGTCCTGAAATCATTTCAGCCTGAAGCTTTTAATCTTCCTACACATGAGGAAGAAGATAACCATAACACACATCTGATCATCCAGTTACTCCCCCTTAACCTAGAAATCGATTATTATCATGAAGGGATAAATTTTCCTCTCTGGGGGCATAAGAGAACACTTAAGAAGAACCAGAAATTTTATCCTAAGCAACCAAACACCAACCTGGATAACTCAGAACACATGACACAATTGTGTTCATAACTCATATCACAAGACACAATTAGAAACTGAGACATGACTCGGACATGATGTTGGGACATCCTATTAAACATCATGTTAAAGATCCTTGCAAACCAACTGCAAGGACAAAAGCAATACTCATATCGTGATCAATACCTTTCTCCCTCTTTTTAGCTAAAAAATGACAAAGATATCCACCACAAAATCATACCCATATTGTACTCATCCAAACACAGACAAAAGCCATAAGAGCTTCGATAAAGACAACCAAACACACGATGAATGAAAGTAAAGAGACGACTCCTTTAAATACCTGAGCTGTTACTTAGGAATTAATGAATCTCGACGGTAGAAATGGACTTGGTCAATGAGAGCGTTATTTAAGGAATATAACTGCACCAAAAATTAAGTGTGCACCCTACACACAACATTCTTCACGCCTTAATTCATTCTGGACTGTTTCTCCTGGAATTTAAATCCCAATGAATGTGCATGCATGGTCAAAAACATGTGTCACACTTCCTTCTGACGTGTACTTGATTACACTGTCCACAAACACCACTTGTTGGTCTTCATAGAGCCAAGTCCTAAATAATCTCCTGACATCCAACCAGACATTGCCTACTTTTTCTTGTCTTCAACAAAACCAACACCTTTTTCAGCATTTAGTCAGAGATTTTTCAGACTAGGGCCATAAAGTGAAAATAAATAAAAAAACCTTTAGGAAATACTCATATACATTCATGTTTTGAAGCATAATCACAATGCCTTCCACTGAATTCAACACGTACTCCTTTCAGCTAAACTTAGTGAGACTTGAGCATGAAAGCTTCTATTTGTCAATAGAGAACTTCCATTAATCTTGAATTCAATCTACAGAGAAAAATAAATTCTCAAAAAATTATTCTCAAAACACTCCTAAGAAGCATGACCATGATTTGACTGAGCTCATTGATTTCCCAATGACATAATCAACCTCAAACTACCAAGTCCTCCATGAACTACACCAGTAACATAATGTTTGAACATCTTGCCTGACATCACAACCTCACAAGAGGAACTTAAACTCAGCCTGCTTGACCCCTAAGGAATCTATATGAAGACTGTGTAACACCCCAATTCTACCCGGAAATATAAATGTAAATCAAAGATAAGAATTATACAACTGAATCAGTATGCCACAAATTCAACTTAAAAACCATTGCATTCAACGTGGATACATAACACTTTAAAACTTTGGATGAACCAACATTAAAATAAGTTAATCTTTTAAATCAACAACTTGAACAACTACGGCGGAATCATAATAACATCTTTATCCAACATGAAAGCAACTTCTGAATAACAAGTACTTAGCAATAATCAACTTAAAGTTCAACAACTGAAATAACAAATACTAAAGCAACAAGCATTCATCCCCCGAGTGTTACGTATCAGAGCAATGACACCGACTCAAACTACTAAAGGCCAACCGCCTTCACTCTGGATTACTTGCACGTTACTAACATAAGGGTAACATTCAAACAGAAGGAGTGAGATATCGAACATTATAATAGAATGTATGATAAATATTACCCTAGAATCAGTTCATGCAAAAATCACCACTTCACAACTTATAAGCCACAATAATCACAACAGGCTATCAATAAAATACAACAATTAATTCAGCAACACAACAACTCAATCATACTACTTGAAATGCAACTCAATACTATGCGAATGCATGTGGTACCATTAGAGCAGAACTCCCATCTTAAAAATGGAGCAGAACTCCCATCTTAAAGATTGCCAATTAATAGAGGCATCAACAAGGCATAAGCCTTCTTTGCAGTTTCCCAATCCAGGCCATCACAAAGTATGCAAATGTATGTGACTCAATGAATGCACTATCACATAATCACAACAATCATCATCCATCGCAAGGCATAATCCCACATCACCATTATTACCAGTAAATAGAGGTAATTCATCATCATTTAAAACTCCCTGCAACTTCGCATTATCAACAAGAATTCACAACAGCAATCACAACATCTTAACATAAATAAACATTGGCTATAAGCCTATTGCATCAATCAATGATTAAATCATTAACATAATTAAACAACAACTTAACATAATTCACTCAGCATGGTTAATGACCAAAATGCAGAATGTACAGGCAAAAGGGATAGGGAACTATGTGCCCCTCGACATGCACGATATCTAGGACAAGATAAAAACTAATATATACTCCTCGAGACGCACTAAGAAAAACAGGGCAAGGACCGACCTATGCTCCTCGACATGCCCTGCAACCTAG